AAGCCTAGGAAGATGTTAAAAGTTAACCAAGGCTGAAAAGGATGCCTCCAAAATACCCATTTTAAGAATGAAAACTCATAAATTTAAAGACATATTAGCATAGTTAAACATTAACTAGCCTGACTGACTCTTCCATTAGAAATGTACATGGGCCCTAACCGGTTTGGCTCAGTGCCTGTGGACTGAAGGGTCCCAGCTTCGATTCCGGTCAAGGGCATGTACCTTGGTTGCAGGCATATCCCCAGTGGGGGGTGTGCAGGAGGCAGCTGATCGATGTTTCTCTCTCATCGATGTTTCTCACTCTCTATCCCTCTCCCTTCCCTCTATCCCTCTGTAAAAATATCAATAAAATATATATTTTTTAAAAAGAAATGTACATGTTTGGAGAAAGGTAAATACTTTGTCCAAATGTGATGCCTAGTATTAAGTAGCTTCAAAAAAATATCAGAAAACTTTTGCTTTCCATAGCAGATTGAGTGTAAAAAGAGGGAGGAAAAAAAAAAAAAACACCTCTTGAGACTAAAAATGGCGGCGGATAAGTGGATGCTTCACTCCCAGGACCAAACTGAAATTACAACAAAAATACAAAAAAAACCCCTAGCTGGTTTGACTCAGTGGAAGGGTCCCACATTCGATTCCAGTCAAGGGCACATGCCCAGGTTGTGGGCTCGACCCCCAGTGTGGGGTTTGCAGGAGGCAGCCGATTGATGATTTTCTCTCCTCGTTGATGTTTCTCCCTCTCCCTTCCTCTCTGAAACCAATAAAAAAATATTTTTAAAAAATACAGAAAAAGCCACCCTGAATAATCAACTGAAGACTAGCTGGAGAGAACCCTAATAACCAATGACAGAAAGTGGAGACTGCATAGAGACTGATTAAAAAATAAACAAAACACACATCTTAACTAAGACAGTAAAGGTGTACTTAACTTTTTTTAAAGATTTTTTTCACCAGTTTTTCTTTTTCTTTCTTTTTAAATATATTTTTATTGATTTCAGAGAGGAAGGGAGAGGGAGAGAGACAGACAGAAACCTCAATGATGAGAGAGAATCATCAATTGGCTGCCTCCTGCACACACACCCCCACCCCCCACCCCCGGGGATCGAGCCCCAAACCCAGGCATGTGCCCTTGACTGGAATCGAACCCGGGACCCCTCAGTCCGCAGGCTGACATTCTATCCACTGAGCCAAACCAGCTAGGCTAGGGCAATGTACTTAATTCTCGCTATTAAATGACAGTAAATAAAATCCAACAAGTAAAAAGAGAAAATGACACTGGTGTAGTCCACATGGTCCTCATAAGCAATCAGATATTGGGTTTTGATTGCCATCAATTACCACTGCCTGCTGCTTCTCATTCATTAACCAAAAAGGTAAACAATCTCTTAGTCACAAAAGTTTTAAAATTCTAAACTAGTTTTAGAATTGTTCATCGCACCCAATAAAATCCCTTAGAATCTGGTCTAAAAATAAAACTATGTGTCAAGTGTTTCTCAAGAAAAACTATGTACACTGATTGGAATGTGAGGCAATTAATACACTTTGTGAGTGATTTGCCAAAGAGACTTCAGATAGCCTGGGCCAAAACCAGCAACAAAGAAACAACACCCACTTGACATTTTCCTTGGTTAAAATGAGATCCTAGGAGTAATTTTAGAAGAAAGGCTAACATCTGAAGTTAACTACTAAAATCACTGAGAGCTACATAAGTATTCTGGGAGAAATTAAGGAAAAGATGACTCAACCAATGTAAAATTAAAGATGAAAACTTTAATATATTATTAAGGAATTTTTACTCACAACTTTAAGGCAAGAATAAAATACCCAGCCATTATGATCATGAAGATAATAAGCAAGGTTAATTTAGCCCTACACATGAAATACTAACTGAATTTAGCAGCACAAATATCTGGTATTACATTTTGATCCTAGTCTGTTTGTTTAATAGGAATCCTTTTCCATCCATACACATACACACACAAAATAAGACAACCTAAATATTACAAACCCATCCTAAGTCAGGCCAGTGTTCCTTAGTTTCCAATTAATTTAGTCAAGGTGAGCAATTTTCCAACTACAGTAATTTGTTTTAAAGAAATGAGACTTCCATGATTTTGCACCATTTAAAAACAAAACAAAAAACTTTTTAAGTCATGATTTTGTGGTTTCATAAACCCCCTACTGTCACGTTAGTCCACTGTCTTTCAAAAGCAATATTTAAAATTCTCTTCTGCAGATCAACATTAAGGCATGCTGTTTGGCTAATAAGCTCCTCCCAAGACCAGGATTATTATGTATGGCCTATTATGTTCCTAACATGCAAAACAAAAGCACTCCCTCATGTAACATTTTTCTATTTTTAGGCAGTAGGTTATCAACAAAGTTTTATCTGAAATTAAAGTGCAACAGAATCATACATCTACTAACAAGGCTACTTAAAATAGTAATTTGAAGATATTAATTATATTTTCCATTTAATAAGTAATCTAGTGCTTCTGGAAAAGTGAAATTTAATTTCCAAGAAGTTTTTAATCTTCAGAGAAAACCACCTACTTGTGATTTCACAAGTGCCATGTTTTAAACTAAAAGCAACTAGTTTCAGAGCAGTTGTAATACACTTGATTTTAAACATTCTCCATTTCATGTTTTAGATTCTTTTCATCATAAATGACCAGCTTAATCTGCTTCCCACTGTTTTCTTCAGCTAAACCAAATCCCTTAACATATTTTAATGTATTTCACTCAAGTCTTTTACTTTGAAGGCATACACTTTTTTTTCAACTACTAACAAGAGTTTAACAAGACTAAGCAATTCCACTATGATTTATGCTCATAAACACCACATACCTAAAAGATAAGCTTTTACAACAGAAACTATAACGGGTTTATTTTCCCAAGTATCCAGTGTTCAACTGGGTCAAATGCTTCTGTTGCAATTTAAGCAGCTTAGTCCTTTAAGTGATAAGAGTGAAAATAAGCCAAAAGAGTCTTTTTTTTTTTTAAGACAAGTTGTGGGGGATAACATTAGTTAATAATATAAGTTTCAGGTGTAAAATTTCATAACACATCATCTATATATTCCACCCAAAGTCTAGTCTCCTTCCATCAACATCAAGAGCATCACAACTCAAGAAAGATTTAGAAACTGTTAGCTGAAGTCTGTTAATATGATAATAAACAACACTTTAACATAGCATTAATCACAATACAGCTGCTTTGGGGAAATCATGTTCATAAAGCTAAAGACTTTATAACAGAATTGGAATCCATGGAATCAATCCAAAGATACAGTTTACTGTACAAAACACATTAACTAAACTTAAAATACTCACTTGCATTCTACACTTTTTCAGACGTTTTACATAACCTGCCAATTTCTATATGACTGGACAGTAGTCATTTAAAATGCAGTACGAGTACAGTGTACTACATTTATAAAGTCAATATTTTTCTGAGCAAGTTATAACTTTAAAAGAGTGATTTTCAACCTTCTTCATCTCATAGCACACACAAACTAATTACTAAAATTATGCGGCACACACAAAAAAATATATTTTTTGCCTTTCTGACAAGAAAAGGATATAATTTTGATTCATTCACACAGGACAGCTATTGTTGGCTGGCTGTTGCCATTTTTTTATTTAAAAATCTAAGTGTTGCTTTTTTTTAGAGAGAGAGAGAGAGAGAAGGGAGGCTGGGAGAGGGAAGAAGAGGGAGTCTAGGGGGAGGGAGGGAGGGAGAGAGAGAAAGAGAGGGAGAGAGAGAGAACATGGACTACTTGTTCCACTTATCTATGCATTGATTCCTGTATGTGCCCTGAAGGGGGAAGACAGAAGGAACAGCAACCTTGAGTCCAATGGAGACAATGTCCTAACTGAGCTACCCGGCCCGGGCAGGTGTGGCATGTTTTAAAAATTCTTGAGACACACCAGTGTGCCATGGCACACCGGTTGAAAATCGTTGCTTTAGAAGAATCTTCTGCAAGAATCCCTAGGAATATGCGTTCAGTTTATTCACTGTGTAAAGCACTTACCAAAAATATTCTTAACTGGGTTTAACAAAGTAAATCTTTTCAATTACTATCAGCTTCAACATCATCAAGGGGGGAAATTAGTCATCAGCAAGAAAAAAAAGAACAAGCAACACATTTAAGAGAATCCAAATGTAATAAACTAGTTCACTATCTTCAACAAAGAGCCTTCACAATCTAGACACCTCTTCCTTTAGGCCTTCACCTCTCACCACTTCCTTCCAGCACCCCAGACTATTTATTTGCTGCTCCCCAAACTCATCCCAACCCCAGCATGGCTCTGCGCTTCGCACCAGCTGTTCCTTCGCTTGAGCATGCTCTGCCCTCCTCACCTGGCGAGCACTTACTCATCCAAACCTCGGTGCAAACGTCCCCTCCAGTGGACACGCTGCCTCGACTCCCCCAAGGAAAAACCAGCTCCCAACTGCCGCAGCACTTGGTCCGTCAGTCCGTCCCCATCACGGCGCATTGTTTTCACGCCGCGGGGGGGGGGGGGCAACAAAGGGTAGATTCCCCCCACTCAGCCCCCAAAGGACCAGGCCAGCAGAAATACTCCATGGACGTGCGCCGAATTCATCCCCACACAGACTGAGTGCTCCTCTGGAGCCCGGCCCCGTCTCCAGGAGACACGGGCGAGCCTATCGCTCTTCCCACCAGAAAAGGAACACCAGAGGCACACCCAGAGCCCCGCAAGGGGAACAATGAATGAACACCGCCGCCTCGCCTCGCCTCCCCGGGGTCCAAACTCCTCTCCCCCCGGCATCGCCTGGCGCTGCAGAGCCCGTGATGCAGCTGCAGGACTGAAACGGCCTGGCGGCTCTCGCTCCACACAAAAGACAGCCCTGGACCTTCATTCCAAAGCATCCCGAGACCAGTGCTCAGCATAAGCACCCCAAACCCTGAGTTAATAACCCAGCGAGTCCTGAAACCCAAGGCGAAGTCCCTATGCTTTCGGGGGGGGGGGGGGGGAGTGACCTATCATATCCTCCACTGGTCCCGGGTTCCTCTCGTCTTCCCTAAAAAGGCTGTCACTTGAGTGACGGTCCCTGAGAGAAGATGCCAGCCCGGGTCCCACACTCCGCGCCACCCGCCCCCCAAGAAAAGGAATGAGCTCATCTGAGTGACAACACAATACGGGCAGCTCCGGGCGGATTTTCCCATTACCAAAACGTGAGGAATGTGCACGGGGTACAGGGGTGGCGCCGGCACGTTCCCCCGAAACACAAGGAAATTAGAGCGGAGATGTGGGAACTTGGCTCGCCGGCCATGACACCGGGCCCCGGGGTCCCCGCCCGCCAGCGCCACCGGGGTGACAGCGGCCTGGCTGGGGCCCTCCACCCACCAGCCGCGGGGCCACTCCGTCAGCGCCGCCCAGTCCGGGCCGACGGGGAAGCGACCCTTTCAGGCCCGCCGCCCGTCTCCCCCGGCATCCAGGCCTCGGCCCCGCCGCCTACCTGAAGGAGCCGGGCCGCCTCCGTGTCCCGTCGTCAGTCCGGCGGCAGCGTCTGGCCCGCTCCTCCTCCCCGCGCCGGGTGAGGGAGCGGGAGGCGGTCACATTCGGCGCGTCCCCAGCCCAGGGGACGGGGCCCCGGGCAGCCCCCGCATCGTCGCACTCGTGCTGCGCGCCTCAGGGCACACGCCCCAAAGCCCGGGCAGCTGGCCCTCTGTGGGGCCCAAGGAGAGCGGCAGGGAACCCTTCTCGTCTCACGCTCCTTCTCGTCTTACTCCCTCCATCTAAGATGGCGGCCCCAGCGCCCGCGATGAAGAAACTCTCGGGCGGCCCCGGCAAGCGAGCCGTCCGCTCGGTGCTCCTCCTCCCGACCTGCGGCGCCACTGTCTCTCTGCTTCTGCGCGAGCCCGCCTGGCCGGCAACTTCAAACTCGGCTCGGGCATCTATCGCTCTGGCCTGAATGTAGGCCCCGCCTCCCTGGGAAGGGGCGTGGCCTCGCCGTCCAGCTGTTTGCCATTTCGGAGATGGGCAGGCTGTAGGGCCAATCGTCGCCGGCGCTTGGGAGAGGCTGTTGGCAGCTGAGAAGGGCCAGCGATTGGCCGCCTCCCAGGGGTCTGAGGCCAGAGGGAGGAAGGCCAACTTGCCAGCATCGCGAGGCCGGGAAGTACCTGAGGATGCTCGGCGTCGACGGCTGTCCAGCTTGGGCGCATCCCCTCCAGAGTCGGGCACTAGGGTTATCAAATCGCGACTCCACCACTTACCGGTTAGGTGGGAAAGTCCCTAAACTTTCCTGAAACTCAGTTTCCTCAGCTGTAAATTGGTGGTTCCTTTCCCCCCATCAGATTGGCAAGAAGTTAAAAAGTGGTAATATCCAGTGTGGTCCAAAGCAGATGAAAGCCCGTCGTGGACCCGCCCTCCATCAGCACTGGCCGGAATGGGTCTGGGGAGGGCAATTGATTCTCTATTGACATGTTTAATGTACATACCCTTCCTCCCACCAATGCCACTTCTAGGTACGAATTCTAAAGCAATATGAACACCTATGCACAAAAAAGGGATGTGCAAAGATGTTTATTGCCATATTGTTTGCGTTAGAGATACACTCGCACTATTTATAGGAAACTGTAGGGCTGGCTCATTCTTTTTTAACAGATAGATGATAGGTCTTCCGTACTATGGAGCTAGCTCTGTTTATGCAACCAGTTTCCTATAAATAATATTCAGGCAATATGTGCAGTATAAAGAAAAATAAAGTGAAGCACGATGAGATAATGTTGGAGTATGTGGACCAACATGAAAATACTAGTAAGTGCAGGGGAAAGATGAAGGCATTGAATGTGGAGGACCTATGAGGGGCGTTGTTTTTTGTTTGTTTTTTTAAAATAGGAATCACTAAAAAAAAAACAAAATTCAGCCCAGTGTAGGGGGTCCTCCATGCACCAAAAGGTTGCGGGTTGGATTCCCAGTCAGGGCAAATGCCCGGGGTTACCGGCTTAATCCCCAGTAGGGGGCGTGCAGGAGGCAGCCTATCAATGTTTCATTCTCACGACGATGTTTCTCCCTCTCCCTCTCTCTAAAAATCAATAAAAAATATATATTTTTAAAAATTCAATTGAGTAATCTTGAAGATCTAATTGACCTTATTGAGTGATATCGGGCAGCATCCTACCCAGCAACTAGAAAGGTGCTCCTAGGGGTACGAAATGGAAGGTTTTTATAGGAAGAAGGGTGGGGCAAGGGAGCTATTGGGGATGGGGCAGTAACATCTTTTCTTTGGGGGAAGAGAAGGGAAAGGGTTTTACCATACAGATTGCCTCTTCTTTCCATGGGGGGTGGAAAGGGCCTGTGTGACAGATTACCTTACCGGTGCTTGACCAGAAAACTGTCTGGGAGAGGTTGAATCTGCCATTAGATCAGGTATTAAGTCTAGGTTTGGTATCATGGGCTTTTAATATGAGTGGCACATTTTGGGCCTGTCGTGTTTTTTTTTTCTTTAACATAACAGCAACACCTACTTCATAGGATTAAATAATAGGAAGCACTTAGCACAGAGCCTTGGGTTTTAGACTTCAGTTTGTGGAGTCTAACTGCCCAGGTTCAAATTTGTACTCTGCCGCTTCTTCAACTGTGACTTGGAAAAGTCCTTTAGACCTCAGGTCCTTAGCTTCCTCATCTATAAAGAAAACATGATAGCACCCACCTGATAGCATGGTACGACTTTGGTGAGTTGAAGATGTAAAGCACTTAGAATAGTGCCTGGCTCATTTACACTCAAAGTGTCAGCTGTAATTACTATAGCTATCTCTTATCATCATCACTATTTAGGGCAGAGAGGCAAAGCCACACCTGCTAACCCTAGAGGCCATTCCTTTCAGTTGACCCAGGTATTTGTCCTGCACTTCACAGCTTAGAAATCTTCAGGAATCTGTGCCTCATTCAAACCTCTCAGCTGATCAATAAGCGTGCCAAAAAAAAAAAAAGTGCCTACTTAATTTTTTTCAAAAAAAATTTTTGAGGCAAAATTCACATTACATGAAACTAACCATTTTATAGTAGCAATTAGTACATTTACAAGGTTGTACAACCACCACCCCCATCTAGTTCCAAAACATTTCCATCACTCCAAAGTAAAACCCATTAAACAGTTTCTTCTATCCCACCCCCACCCAGCCCCTAGCAGCCACCAATATGTGTGTTCTATCACCGTGGCTGTATCTGTTTTGGGTATTTCATATAAATGGAATCATACAGTATGTGACCTTTTGTGTCTGGCTTCTTTCACTTAGCATAATGTTTTCGAAGTTTCATCCATGTGGTTGCACCTGTCATTACTTCATTCCTTTTTATAGCTAAATAGGTAAGTATATACCACTTTGTTTATCCATTCCTTTGTTGATGGACATTTGGGCTGTTTCCATTTCTTAGCTATTGTGCATAGTGATTGCTATGAGCATGCATGTATATGTACTTGTTGGAGTACCTGTTTTCAGTTTTTTCAGGCATATACCACGAGTGGAATTGCAGGAATCATCTTGCACTCCGCTGGGTTGCACGTCCCCACTTTGAAACCTCTGATTTGGTGGGTTGAAGAAATGTCCAAACCTGTAGAGAATTTTTATAAGAGTTTATTTGAGCCAAACTGGTGACGCATGCCAGGGAGCAAGGTCTCAAATCCTCCAGAGAATAACAGTTTTGCAGTTTCTTTTTTGCCTTTGAAATTAAGGAGAGACCATAAGGAAGATCACATGGAGGGAGAAAGGAAGGAAGAGATTGGATTACAAGGTTGTTGAACTCATATGAGGGGGGACTCATATTAGAAGGAGGGGTATGAGCCCGGCTGGTGTGGCTCAGCAGTTGAGCGTTGACCTATGAACCAGGAGGTCTCTGGTTCAATTCCTGGTCAGAGCACATACCTTGCTTGCAGGCTCGATCCCCGGTGGGGGCTATGCAGGAGGCAGCCAATCGATGATTCTCTCTCATCAATGATGTTTCTATCTCTCCCTCTCCCTTCATCTCTGAAATCAATAAAAATATGTTTAAAAAAAAAAAGAAAGGTGGGTTGTGAAAGGGAGCATTTCAAAGGTGTGTTAACCTAGATTCACAGAAACAAAGGATAGGGCTTAAGGCAAAGATAAGCCTTTTAGTAGAGAAGCTATATACCTGGGCCATGACTACCCACCCATCTACTTCCCATAGAACCCCTTTTTTTCATCCACTGGTGGTAGGAGAGGTCAGGAGAGCTAGGGTTATTCGGAAAGGTCTCAGGAGAGAAAAGGGGGAAAGGAATGAGTCAGAAATGGCATGAAGGAAGACTGGACATGCCATGACCTCGGATCAGACAGAGGAGGGGAAGAACAGGAGGCGTCCTCGGTGGGAGGAGTGATTGGGGAGACTACTATGGAAATTTGCCTGTGTATTGGAATGTTCTACTCCTTAATTTAGGAGGTGGTTACATGGGTGTGTGTATAGTATATGTATCTACATATATACCAGTAACTGGTATGTGCACTTTTCTATACATTTGTTACACCTCAATAAAAAATCCTTTGGAAAAAAACGCCAGGTCTCTAAGCCTGGCAAAAGGGTGCATTTTTCAGATGAAGGAAAGAAAAACTTCGCAAATAATAGTTACCTTTCATGGAGCCTCTTCATATCATCAGACATTTTACACAATCTCCCTTACTCATCTCAACTTGAAAGGCCTGATCTTCAAATGAGGAAGCCTTCCGAGAGGGTAATTAATCCAAGGGCAAAGCTGGGAAGTGGTGGAACAGGGATCTGAACCTGTTCATTTGTTTATTCCTCATGAAGATTAATGTTGTCCTTAATATGTGCCAGGCCCTGCACTGAACAAGTCAAAGTCCCTGCCCTCGAGGTCTAGCAGGGAGACAAGCAGCAAACAAGTGAACCAACATATCAACACGAGAGTTAGGATTGTGATAAATCAATAAAGGGGATGACTAGAGCAGTGGTTCTCAACCTTCTGGCCCTTTAAATACAGTTCCTCATGTTGTGACCCAACCATAAAATTATTTTCGTTGCTACTTCATAACTGTAATGTTGCTACTGTTATGAATCGTAATGTAAATATCTGATATGGAGGATGGTCTTAGGCGACCCCTGTGAAAGGGTCGTTCGACCACCAAAGGGGGTCGCGACCCACAGGTTGAGAACCGCTGGACTAGAGACTGATAGAAGGGGAAGGGGAATGCCTATAGACTTCTCTTAGGAGGTGGTAGTTAAACTGGGCACTGAGACATGAGGGAGAGCCAGGGGAAGAGCATTCTAAGCAGTTGGAACAGCACTGAAGGGCCATGAAGTGGGAAAGGAGTGCAGGCCAGTGTGGTCAGAGCACAGAGAAGGCTGGGGAGGAGATGAGGCTGGGGAGGTGGGAAGAGGACAGAGGATGGAGTCATAGCTGGTCTGACTCCCAGTCCCGTGGCCTTCCCATTCCATCCTGCCTCTCTGGTGAGTTTAATTTTAGTCACAGATGGGTTTGAAGTGTGGGCTGGCCTGGACTGAGTGCTGGAGAGAGCGCCAGGTAAACAAACAGTTACCCCACCAGGTGATCCCAATGTACTCTACTGGCGAGCTATCCCAGTTCTGTGGGAGGGCACCCAGAAAGGGGAGGGAGCTACCAGTTCTGCCAGGGAGGGTCACAGAGGTCTCTGCAGAGGCAACATTTAAACTGAATTTTAAAGGAGGAGTCAGAATTTTCCAGACTGAGAAGAGAGGGAGAGCAGAGTCAGAGGTGGGAACAGTATGAGCAAAGGCATAGGAGGTGTGACTTAGCACATGTTTGGAAAAAGCTAAGTTTTCATTGATGTTCCTATCTCTCTCCCTTCCTCTCTGAAATCAATAAAAATATGTTAATAATAATAAGTAAATAGCCCTGATCGGTTTGGCTCAGTGGATAGAGCGTCGGCCTGCAGACTGGGGGGTCCCGGGTTCGATTCCAGTCAAGGGCATGTACCTTGGTTGTGGGCACATCCCCAGTGGGGAGTGTGAGGAGGCAGCTGATCGATGTTTCTAACTCTCTGTCCCTCTCCCTTCCTCTCTGTAAAAAATCAATAAAATATATTTTAAAAATAATAATAATAAGTAAATAATTTAAAGTTTAGCATTTGGTTCAGTGGTTAGAGGGTCAGCCCGCAGACCAAAGGGTCACGGGTTCAATTCCTGGTCAAGGGCGTGTACCTGGGTTGCAAGTTCAATTAGCTGGTCTGGGCACATGCAGGAGGCAACAAATTGATGTGTCTCTCACATCAGCCCCACTGACAGTGACCGATGGGGTCCATCTGCCTCTGAGGTGTAGCTAACACAGAGCCTCAGTCAGTCTCTGCTACCATCTCCATGGCTCCACCTCCTCCGACTTCCTCCCATCATCCCCAGACCAAACCTTAAGCCTGAAGACCACTTCCAACAGGAGCCTGAGCTGCTGCCTTCCCACCATATTCTTTATTCAGCAGCTGCTGAGAGGAACAAACACCGTAGGTCGCAGCTGCCAGAGGAGGCTCCGCAGAGATGTGGTCCTTGAGCTGGGGTTGAAAGTCGGGAAGAGCATTTTCAGCAGAGGGGATAGTGTGAGCTGCTTCTCCAGGTTTGCTGGGTGCTGCAAGCCTGAGAACAGAACAGGCACCTTTCCTGGGACAGGAGGCGTCAGGCCAGTGAAACAGACCAGAACCTCAGAGGCAGGCCTTCCACAGGAAAGGGATGCCCTTTACCAAATGTCATGGAGGCGGA